ATTTTGGCAACTCTTAATAGCTCATTCCTGGGTTATTTATAGGTCTGGAAGTTTTAATTTTAGCAAATGCAACTTTTTTTGGTTGGGATTTTGGAGGGGTGAGGGAGTCTGAACAGCAGCGAGGAAATGCCAGAGGATTTCTAGTACGCTGCTTATTTGCTATGATGGCCAGGTGCTTTCAGATCAGGTGAACTGAGAAACACTGATGTTCCGAGCAAGCTTTCTGTCTGGCGTCTTTGCCAGATCACATAAAGCCTGCACAACGTCTGCATAAAACAGCATGCAAATTCAGGGCAGGATATTTGAATAAAAAGGAAAGTATATGATCTATACTGTGCCCATGTCAGATGCAGACAGTCATTCACTACAGCACGAAAGTTTGATCAAAATGCAGTCAGGATAGCTATATTTATCACAAGTGCAAAACTATTCAGACTTCGGTATCATACCAGCACGTATGTGCGCATACGTTTTACGGAATGCAAGCGTACATCCCTCTGACTGAAAAAAAGCAATTTCCTCATCATCAAGAGCAAAATTATGCAAAAGACATTACAGACATGGGGTGGGGTGCGTGTGCACACAAATATCTTAAAAAAAATTCAAAATAGTAATACAACGCATGTAAATTGCTGTGTCCGTAAGTATCACAGACTCTGGATATATTCCATGGAAATATTGCATGTCCCCTACAAAATATTTTCAAACATAACAAAACATGAGATTCGAGATTCTACTATACATCAGGCTTGGATTTTCTCATCTATAATGCACTGGCTATTGGTTGTCCTGAGAGTTAGGCTAGCTATACTATGGGGGAAGAGAAAGAATGAATACCTTGCTTCAGAAGTGCTTTTGCAGTGGTTTGATAAAGTGGGGAGAAAAAAAAAAAAAAAAAAAAATTGAAAAACCCAAGCCTGTTTGTGAACACTAACAACAATCATTTAGAATATCTTTTTGTAGCAGAAATTCAGGTGAGATAATACCAGTGGGAAAGTCAATGTCATTTGATCGCTGCCATATTTTCAAAGCAGTGCCCAGATACTAATTAATCTCTACAATCTCTTCGTTTGGTAGGTGACTTGTTATCTTCCTTTCATGGAAAAGGTTACAGGAACTCAAGATAAGGGGTACATCTAAATGTTCAAAAGCACACAGTGAGTTTGTTCCAGAATTATCAAAAGAATTTCCAGCCTTTTCTTGGGCCAATAGCCCATGTTGCTCTCCTCTCCCTCATAAAAGCTTATCTAACTATATATATACAATCAGAGAGAGAGAGAGAGAGAGAGAGAGAGACGATAATTCAGTAGGGACAAAACAAAATAAAGCCCTTATTAATATCAGTATAAATACGGTCTGTAGTATTTCAGTTATTTTAACTGTGGAAGTAATAAGAAACTTCTGCGCTAAAAACCAAAACAGAGCAAAACTGTGAAAGTGAAGTATGAAAATGCTAGGGCTAAGGCTGAGTAGAGAGATGGAAAGACTAACATTAAATAAGTAAATGCAACAGGCCGGCCTGCCTGACCACTTCAGAGCAGCTCCCAACAGACTGAGGTAGAGTAGAGCTTCTGTGCAAGGGGTTGGAAATAAGAATTGAGGGTAGAACAATTTCTTTACAACCCTTTGGAGACTGAAGGGCCAAAACAGGAGGGAAATGAGATCTAGGCCACTCACAAGATGCACCAATTTAATGGAATGCACAAGATGGTCCAATATTGAGCCCTAGACTAAGTTCCAAGTTGCCTTCCCCATCAAAAGAGGTCTGGAACGGAAGCAGAAATGAAGCGAGCCGTGCACATCAAACACAAGAAGTCTTCAACCTGGCATTTGCGTATGCTGCTAGACTTTAGCAATAAAATCTGCAAACCTGAGGTAAAGCATGAAAATACATACTGCAGCACATAATTCAGAACAGGCTTGGCTTTTCCATGCGAAATTTGCAGCGTCCTTTTACCTTGCCTGCTTGATACCAAAAATTTGAGACTAAACCTCTGGACGGATGCTTGTGATTCCATGGCAATTCAGAGCCATGCATTTGCTCCGCTCGATCCCGAGCACTCCAAGCCATGTCAACGGGGATTCCCCATGATGCGGGCTCATATACTGAGCGATAAACCTGGCTTTCGGGGGCGGCCACAGCAGTCACAGAGCAAGACAATTACAGTAGCTTCAAAAGAGACCATGTATTCAACTCTCCTAATGAGAGTAAGAGTCACAGTGGTATTTCACTGAGGAAGGCATGAAAAGTTCATACCTGTACGCCCCAAGGTTTTAGTTGGACAAGAAAGCAAATGGCAAAAAAAAAAAAAGAAAAAAAAGAGAAAACCCACTCAAGTAGATGATGCTGTTAAGTTTTCAAGACTCTATAATTAAGACAAACTGGATCTCAAAGTTTGCTTGCTCACATATTTTCAAGCTATTAAATATATCTGCACTATAAAAATAGTTTGCTTGGGATTTTTTGCCATACATAGAATATCAGTATTCTGAATAGAAATGAGCAATTTTTTAATACGTATTCTGAATAAATATGAGCAATTTTTTAATACACAAAATGCAAGATTAATTAAGAAAATACAGTAAATTCTAACTGAGGATGATGATTCTCAGTTTTCCACGCTTAGATGGGGCTTCGGAGATGCCACACATTGAGCACAGCAACTTAAATACTTTACAACAAATCCTTCCGTACCTACACAAAATAGAGTACTGCTAATGACAGTGACAAAAAACGATAACTACTCTCGTTTCCACTTTGAGTCATTTTTCTGTGGTTAATAAATTATATCCATAACAGTGTTAATAAGTTATGGTACGGTGTCACTGCATTAGTTTGCATTTGTGATGAAGCACTTCATATGGTATTACCTATGCCCGTGGAAGTACATAACAGGAGAGACCACTTCTCTGCTCTCAGAAGAGTCTCCCATGCTGGCATTTTGACGGACCCTCTAAGGAAACTTCTCACCTCTGTTCCAGCAGCACACCACTGCGGGGCAATTCTCCGAATTTGATATGTTTAACAAAACACAGACACTCTTAAATCAGTGTCCTTTCCATAGAAGCAATATACAATGAGTTATTAGTTAGGCAAATACGGGAAGCATTCAGATCAATTTAGTCATGTGAAAAGGACACCGTCAATTCAATGCATCCTCCCTCAAGCTCCCAGAGGGAAACGGGAAGATTTACACTGACTGATGGGCTCTCAATCAACTGCTGCAACAGCCTGTTTTTCCAAAAGTTAAGAATAAATAAATGTATTTTAAGCTTAATGCGATTTGATCTTTAAAGAAAAAAGAAAAGCAGAAACTATTTAAATTCTTGCAGCCCAACTATCGCAGCACTGGTGAAGACAGAGATGACAAAAGTAATAAGCATGCTTTTAACAACAGAAGGAAGCTCACGGCTTTAAGTATATTCTTTTACAAATAAAGTGCAAGCCAGCCCCAAATCAGAGTTCTGTCACCTGGGCTTTTGGTCACCTCAAGTGCTAACTTCAAGAGCTGTTATTAGGCAAAATGTTTTTTGCCCATTAAAATTATTATATAACAATTCAGTATAGTTTAACAACAACTTTTAAAAAGAGCGTAATTATTGAATTGTCTCCAGTACCATGATACCATCTCTAGTGAAGTATTCCTTTTAAAAACTTTCTTCCTGCTTTATATCATCTACATATATACAGAAGCTGCCATGTGAAACACAATGTCCAAATAGAAATGAAATATTCCATCTCGATAGGATTTACTTGCTTTCCATCAGTATCAAGTAAAAACTAGCACTATTAGATTAAAATGGAGAAAAATCCCAAATTATCTGCAGCATCCATAAGCCAGCAGTGCAAAAGCTCACATACTTTTATAGTAGGTATATACAAGATAACTTTGCAGACATATTACTGGAATGGTTTGCAACCAGTGAAGGTAATTTTGATTATTTCCACTTCAAAACATCCTATATTGGAGCCACATCACTGAAAACAATCTAACCATAAGAGGAAAAAAAGTGATGGCAAAACAGCCTGCTAATATATTTGCTGGAAAGACAGACAGAGAAAGAGAGTAGTCCTCTATAGATTAACTGAAGTCTTTCGGAGACAAAGACTCCAATATTCTGAGCAAGAGAAATAAAATCCCCATAAAAATACCTTGACTTTCTTAATTTCCTTTTTCCTCTCCATACCACAACTAGCATCGTTCATTTGTATACTCAATTTGTCTCCACTGCACCACAACAAAATACATTTTAAAATTTAAAAGGTAAAAATAAACATGACGTTCCCACCACAGCATCATTGGACACCGTACCGCACAGAAGAATAAGTTGCGCCTTCACAGTAATTTGACAAAAGAACGACAAAAAAAATGGCAAAAAAAGAACAGTACGACTAAGGCTCGAGGAAGCATCAGTTCAACATTTAGCAATGCATAAATTGAGGTTTCATTTTTGTGTAGGTATATTTTGATTAGAACTAATAAATGGCTGATTTTCCTTTGGTTGTTTGCAACAACAACACATCATCCAAAGAGCTTTATTCTTTATTCCCTTCTTATATAGCATGCCAAAGACTGTCTCATTTTATGAATTAGCATTTAAAACTACTGTAGGTTATCTAACAAGCATTCAGATTCAGTAGTACTTTTGACAGCAGTAAGTAAAGAGCCTTTTAACATCTTGAACACATGTGCTTGAAAAAAGTAGTTACATCAAAGCAGTTCAAAGACTGAAGACAAAAACCAGTTAAAATCCAGTTTGCTGTGAGACAATTTTAGTGTGGTGTAAACAACCTTTCACGACTCCCCACGGGAAACGTTGCAAGGCTATGTTCAAAATGAATCAGGCATATTTATAAAGATCATGAAGTGGTCAAATGAATTTGCATTTTTGGCAGATTCACTCCACGGGTACTACTTGCTACAGTCTGTAGAAATCTCAAATCTCACATCAGCGTTGCCTATAGTGCTTTATTATTTATTACGTGTTATGCTAAGTACCTGTGAAAGGGGACATTCCTTGGCCAATGAACTCTGGTTCATATCCTTCAGTAAGTCCTTCAGAGCATTTCTTACTGTTGTGTGAGACCATTGTTCAGGAGGCAAGTCTTCTAGTTTAGGGCAACTATTTGAAACACAGATTAGAAAAGGGATTATTACAAGATTGCATCCTGCTGCAGAACATTCCTTTAAGACAGACAGATTTCATTTTGCGCATCAAGCAGATGCATCTGGAGATTGCTCTCGGTCTCCTGATTGTTCCGATTAGTTAATTACTTTATACAACACATCTGCTGTATTGATGCATGAATTATACATCAGCTGCATGTGGCGACTATTTTTTCATGTTACTTCTACCTTCCTGCTCTGATGCGCTTGGTAAAACAATTTAAGGTGTAATGCTTTCTCACAACTGATCATGAAAAGCGTTAATATATTAACCGTTTTTTTCTTTTTTGTTACCGTGAAATTTAAGAACCTAGACAGCAACAATAAGTGTGAGCAAGTCATTCTTTTACAAAATGCACACAGATGGTACTGTTCATGATATGCAAAAATATTTTTCTCTTAAGTAAACTTTATGTAAAATGCCTTCTTGTAATGCATCATTTAATTGACTAAAATGCAATATAGTTTTAATGAGATATCCAAAGAAAATCTATGTATCAGAGCCATAAAAGTTTTCTGCAATGGTATACTGTAAGTTAAAGAAGAATTAGAGTAACTAAAAAGGAATTTAGATAAACCTTTGTACATTGAGCACACAGCACAGTAGAAATTAAATACAAGCAATATTAAGAGTAAGAGCAGACAAGTAACAGTTCACGTCCCAGAACTGGTACGCAACTTACCTGTGTAACTGGATTTTCAGTGTGACCACATGATACACGTCTTGCAGCATGTCTGCTACTGTAGCATCAGGGGCATCTGTCACATAGGAGAGTGGAACTGGATTCCACTTCCCAACCTGGATAAGCCCTGAGGGATTTTTATTTTTTAAGGGGAAGGGGAGTGGGCAAGAACGGCAGGAAAAATTGAAAAAAAGTAATTTACCTGTTAATTCCTAGGGGCAAAATAAATATCTGATTTTAACAAGATCACCGCCTTTGTTTCTAGCCTCTTAAATCTGGCAAAACAAAAGAACATCCCCCCCAAAAAACCCCCACCCACACACCACCAAGGATATGCTTTATCTGTCTTATGAAATTATACAAATGCATTACAGTAGAGATTTTTTAATATGTATAGGAGTATATTTTCCTGAGTTCCCATGAATTCAATAGGACATGATATAATAGTTAGCATTCCTCTTAATAAATTAGAAAGGATTTTGCAAAGCAAGGACCGAGTTAAAAAAAAAAAAAAAAAAAAAATACTTTGCAGTCTATAAAACCATCAGGAACAAAATAAAAGAAACAGAGCTGGATATTCAGTCATAAATGCAAGTTGACTCTCAACAGTCCATCTGCTCAAATATGCTTTACACTTCCTTGTGGATCCTCAGTGGAGCAGATTATTAAGGTCAATAAGCATACTAATGATTCAGTTGAAGTCTTTTTTTTCTTTAAACAAAAAAAAAAATCTACCTCCACATTCCCCACGAACAAAACGTGCACTAACTAAACAAAAATACATTAAGGAAAAAAAAAAATACAGAGACAGAATCTGCAAGAAGTTTAAGTAGTAAAACCTGCATCGCATTCCTGAAAGAAATCCCGCCCCTCCCCCAAGACCCCACAAACAAACATAATTCACTGTACAATTTTGTAATCTTATTTACCTTTTGCTTGGGCAGCAGAGCTGTGAGAATATCCAAGTGATAGCAATGCCATTTCAATCAGTTGGTTGAAAAGCATATCCTTCCTCACCAACACAAATTCTGCATGCTCCTCCTTAGAATCATACTCAATGGCATTTTCATAATGTTCCACTACACAGAAAACTGGAAGCATACTTCCTATTAAAAAAAATTAAATTTAACGTATTAAACTTGAGTTATAGTAGAGTAGGTGGGTCTACACAGCGTTATGTAAATAAAACCTGTACAAACAGGCAGAGGAGGCATCAAGAATCATCACAAATATTTGATAAACATATTCCCTGAGTCCTTTCCCCTCACCCTCCCCAAAAAAGAGAAAGTTCTACAAAACATACATCTCTCTGAAAAGCAGAAATGCAAATTTATCTCGCTTGATCGGATACAGATTAAAGAATTACCTTCTATAGAAATAACAAGGTTGACTGAAGAGAAGTTGATTCTCTCTGTCCTGCCTGATTTGTTGTGAGTAGCAGGCAGCATGAGAACCTAAATACATACTGCAGATGTCTTCACTGTAAGCCATTTTAGTACCAGCTACATAATTTTGTTCGTTAACATTAAAACTTTCTTAGTCCTGCCAAAAATATTTAATTGCCTTCAACATCAACAACAAATCACCTTGTGTGTTATACATTCGCTCTGAAAAGAGTACACAAGGAAACAAGGCAAAAGTTAACACTAATTCGTGCTTCATTCATTGAGTGCACTTGAGCACTACTTTCACTCGCATCTTTAAGAAACAAATCATGATTTCAATGCCGTTTTAAGAAGTGTACCTGCAGTTCGGGCTTTTTTTTTTTTTTGTTGCCTCCTGTACTTTACGTCCAACATTTCTGGTATGCATTGCTATTTTGGTATGCCTGAAAGTAATTACTAATTTCTAGTTTTGTAGCATCATACGACAAACCCTTCCCTACGCTGCACAGAATATTAAGCAAACAACCTTTTTCCCTTTCCTTTGGCTTTTTTTTTTTTATTTTTTTCCTCCCTTTTGACAACAGACAGAGAAGTAACAAATGACCCAAGCTGTTTTAGGGACAAAGTCTCTCCTGGCAATCAGATTTCTAGACTTTGTGAAAATCCCTCCTGGCCTCCCAGACGGATGCAGATGACACGATGACCTCGGACACGCGGTTTAAGGCCCCGGTCCTGTCCCGCTGTCTCCAGCAGCGCAGGTTAGGATCTCTTAATGACAGAAAGCAAAAGGGTTAAAAGCAGATGTACAGAACTATCTTATGGCAGCCTGCCAGAGGGGTATCATCTTTAGCATAAATGATGACAAGGGTTATTTTAACAGGGCACCCAGGAACTCCAATTAGTCCTACAATGTTAATGCCTCTACAACCACTGCCCTCTAGACTTAGGAAGCCTCCTAACCTGCTAAGGTGCACCAGACACACCGTAGTCAAAAAAGAAGATTTACTCTTGACAATAGATACGCATTTTAAGACCGCGTCTGTTGATTTGTGCTCTAACGTATAGCAAGAAATCATGATAAAAAAGATACCTCTTAAGCACGTATATTTAAACTACATCTGTTCACCAGAGAGTCAATCTCCGGCAAACAAACCCCTTCAGGCTCGCTTGGAAAAGCTCACAAACTCACTTCAGTTTGCCCAATAGGCTCAGCATGAAAGACAAGACTAAAAGCTTGCCAATATTTATGTAGTGCAGGAAGAAGCTTTTTTTTTTTGTCTTTTTTTTTAAATCTAAGTAAGACTGGTCAGGAAGGGAGAGAAGACCAAAGCAAAAGCAGTACATGCAAACTGGTGATTTCTTTATTGGTTTTAATTAAGCTGTGGAGAGCTTTCTAAAACTCACACCCTTCATCTGCAAAAAGGTGGTGGGTTTTTTTTTTTTTCCTTCCAGGCTCTCACAATTGATGTTTGACCTACTACCGTCTGACTCAGAGTAAGGGCTCAGAATTCTTAAGCAGTTTCACTGTTAATACCTGAAGATAAAATGTAAACAAAGCTTCATTTTAACAAACAGTGCAGATACACTCAAAAACAGCTAAAGCGTATGTGTTTTTTCCCTTATCAGTTCCTACAAATTAAGCTACGATCAGACACAAAACTAGCAATGCACAGGTACTTCGCTGCACGTCAAGCACACTTTTTGCCAGGTACACTTTTTGCTGTGAGTTGCAGCGTTCTGAAAAATGTGGTACTTTAAACAACACAGGAGAACCTCCTGGGCAAATTTTGATGTACAGCGTAGCTTTTCAGAGGTGGATCCTGGTAGTGCAATACAGGTATCATCTGACTACAAATCAAGCCACTAAATCTTTTAGCAAACTGTCACTAGTGTCCTTCTGTTAATGTGAAAAATGTTATACAGGAGAGCACAATCTCAGCTGGCTGATCACTCCTGCTAGTACTTGGCAAGACCTCCAAGTGCAGCAACTTCATAACCTTCTAGTATTAAAGGGGAGAGCATTGGTCAGCGCTCGCTGCTAAAAATACAGCATGATTTAAACCTGAAGGCAGTGTTAGAGCTTTTGCTGAAGGTTTACGAGTCTGTGTAAACAGCACGTCTGCCATAAGGAGCAGTGAAGTCTGTAGAATCCTTGTCTAAAACTGTCCTGGCATTAAAGTTTGCTGTGCAAATATCACATAATACCAGAGACAGCTGAAATCTCCTATTTAGGAATTTATGGAACTTATATGTTTGCAGGCGTCAGAAAGTCCTTTTTATATAGCCCCACTGCTTCACTGTACAATATTAATGCACTCTGCTTGAAAAGCCGTAATAAATTATATTTTTAATGCTCTTACCCTGCTTTCTTAAGATGCATACATTCTTGGCAAACAATCAATAAATAGGGTAATCATGAGCAGAGGCCAAAGAATTTGCTGAAGTGCTGTTTTTCCATTTTTAATAGATAAAGATCTAACAATACGGACTGCTGTGTCTGTTCATTTCAGGATCAATATATTCTTTGTTTTCGCCAAACCGAGGAAAAAATAAATGATTGTACGATAAATGTTATGCATCAGACACAATGAAATTCCTCTGCCTTCTAACTTTGTGCATTTAATAGTCTTGGTTGCATTTTGCACTTTGCTTAGCAAATGCAAGAAAAATCTGGATTATAAATATACACCGATTATACTGAGAAAAGTAGAGGCTGTTTTAAAACAAATGCCAATTTACATGCAGCATATTTTGATTTAGATTAGCAAGCCTGCAGGACATGGTCAAAAAGACTTACACATTTTGATAAGCAAAATTTATAGATTATTGTCCATTAAAAGTATTTTCAATGCAAACAAAAGCCATCCATATACAAACATCAATGATTCTAAATGTGCCTTTTCCTTGTGTAAATGTCTAATTACAGCAAACCAGCCACTGAAAAATATGACACCCAAGTTGTTCATTGTTCAATAATGAATTGTACTTAAGAAAATAAACTGCGAAGATTGACATCATAAATGACTTTTCCAATGTGATACCTAAAGATTTACACTCTCTCCTTTAAACCAACTATGCAACTGTTATGGAAATACTGCTGCCTTTCCAAGCTTGGACCATCATTAAGAGGAAAGGCGAGAATTTGTTTTGGGGGTTTGGTATTTACTCTTACATATTTTTGCGTTTCTTAGCCCAACACTTACTCAAAGAATTAATGCATTATATTACTTCTATTTCAATGTAGGAACCTGCTTTAATCGGGGCAGCTAGCCTTTACCTTAACAAAAATCAGACTCCACCCTGTAAAGCAAGATGCTCCACCCAAGCATGAAGCTTACATTTCCCAAATGTGATTTATATCAGAGTTGGGAATATATAGTATTTTAGAATGGAGATTTAATCCTGAAATATAAATGAAGTAGAGTCTGCAAAAGTATGCTTCCCCCCCCAAATATTATAAATCATATTTCTCTAATGCAGAATTATCAAAAGTGTTACCTTTTCTAATATTAGTTTTCATCAGGTGTCCAGAGTGTTTTAAAGGCACTCCTTGCATTTTAGTTCCTGTACTTCCAAGTCTTCCTCTTCCTAATGGGCTCCCATTCTGTTCCAAGCGCGCAATTTTGGCTGGTGGACCCTTCGGATCGCTTACATTGTTAGACATTTCTGAATGTTCTTTCCCCTGAGTTGCCTCGTTCAAATGATCCATACTCAGTCCCGCCTCTAAAGATCACCTGCCATGATTCAAAAAAAAAATATATATGTTGTACACGTGTGCGCATATGTATACGTACACAGCCTGCACATGTACAGAGAGAGAGAGATATGTATCGTAAGCTCATAAAGAAGAATAACTATTTTAACGGGAAAGAAGATGCCTTTTTTAAAAGAAACAAACTTATTCTCCAAAAATGACCTCATACCCCAGTTTACAGACAGATCGCATCATAATCTGGTGGAATTATTTTTTAAAAGCCAACCAGAGTACCCTTTAAAAAAAATCTTCAGAGATATTCTACTAAATCTGAGAAAGACTAAGTCTCATATAAATGATGATGATTGTCAAGGTATGTGCTCCAACACAGCTATTGTTACAAATCTCACAGAAAGGTTTGTTATTAATCCCGAGTGTTTTTATTGTGCTAAGAGAGAGAGAGACAGAGACAGAGAAAGAGATTCTAGTGAAACATTCCTCAATCTACTTGATTAAAAAACTGGATGCACAACAATAGGTTGTTAAAACTTTAGTTGAGGGAGCAACAGATTTATTAGAGATGTAGAATATTGTCCGTTTACAATTCCTCCCCCCCTTAAAAATAAAAGTTAGAAGAGAATTTAACATTTAACTTCGGAAAGCAGTGGCGGAAGATGGTTGCTTTTGAGTTTCCTAACCAATATTATACAAAGAGTTTATCAACTTTTGCAAAGTTCAAAATATGCATATGAAATTTTTCAGATGTTAAGCTTTAAGTGTTAAATGGAGTAGTTTATTGAATTAAGAAAAATAACTGAGAAGAGAAGGTAGCATCTCACAAAACATAATGCTGGGAAAAACCCCCACAATTTCTACAGTACTTTGGAAGCCCTTAAATATAAAAAAAAAACCCTGGGTGATGCTAAGTTATACGCTGAAACAGCTATTTGAAACCAAAAACCCGAAGTAATTTCAATAGCAAATTAAGAAAAGTTGTATGCTAGCATGCTTATATTTCCCTTTTTATAAACTTTTGAAGCCTCCGTCCATGAACAACAATTCCAGTTAAATCACTAAGAATCTCCCAAGCCTAGAACGTAACGGAGTAAGTTTTGAGGATTTTTGTCACTCATCAGAATCTGTTTTGCCAAGTATATATATTAAAAAAAAAAAGAAAAATCAGTTGCTGAGAACAGAGACATCTTTCTGGTTATGATTTCATTCATCAATACTGTTGTCATTGTTAGGTATTTTACCCTACCTTTCTCTGACTAAGAAAGGTGTGACTACACTGACAATTATGTTATGCATATAATATAATCACTAAGGACAGGTGACTAGACATTAATTTATGAACCAGTATTTACATTAGTGAGTACAAATACAAATACTGGGAAAGTCGTATTTAGAAAGACTGGTGTGAATCTGATAATTGCTACTTTCTTTCAGTTGCCTAGTAATTCAGTACATTTTCTGCACGTTTCATAGCAAAGCTATTAAAGCCCAAACATCTTGGGATTTTTTTCTATACATCTATGTCGTTGGTATATATGACAATGACAATTCTGTAAACTATTTTTTTCTTGTTTGAACACCATGCTGCTTTTCCCGATACGGTGAAGAAAGAGGTAATATATTAATCTGAACGTTTACAAGCAACCTCAAGAATGCCACTGAATAGCTAAAGTTCAGAAAATCGTTATTTTTCCTTATGCTGTAAGGTGACAGGCTAAGGTTTACCATTCATCTTGATCCCATCTGGTTTAGGTCATGTGTCTCATTAACAGTAAACGTGCCTTTTTTAGCCACTTTTCGAAAAGATTTTTTTTTTTTTTTTTTACTGTGTTAACTGCAGCCTAAGCAAAGAATTACAGACTCAAACCATTAACATCTTCCGATGTTACTGACGATGCTAACATACTATAGGACTGCTTCTCTGAGACTGGTCTTTCTCAAGAAGAGGAGGATTAACATAAAAAAAAAAAGAAAAAAAGGGGGGGGGGAGAGTTAAAAAAAAAAAAAAGCCTGAAACAAGAAAATCCTTGTCACTTTTGGCAACTTCAGAAGTACTCTAAGGCACCGAGGTTCTTTGCTACAAAAAGTATCTAGTCATCATGAGTCAGAATCGCGCTACATCATGTACAGTGAATAAAAGTGATAGATCGCAGTTTAGTTAATACACTGACTACAACCAAAACACCAAATGGTTAAAAAAAAAAAAAAGCCTGAAACAAGAAAATCCTTGTCACTTTTGGCAACTTCAGAAGTACTCTAAGGCACCGAGGTTCTTTGCTACAAAAAGTATCTAGTCATCATGAGTCAGAATCGCGCTACATCATGTACAGTGAATAAAAGTGATAGATCGCAGTTTAGTTAATACACTGACTACAACCAAAACACCAAATGGGTCATTTTCGCTTGGCCTGAGAATACCCACCCATCGGCATCCTTTCACCGCTTAGTCATCTTGTAAAAAGCTTTATGTTACAAAGCAAAATTACATGCACATAAAACACCTAATTTACTCATTTAAACTCCATGCCCAAGGCTAAAGTTCACTGAAACCTCAGTTTGGAATAGTGATGAGCAACAACCAGCGTGGCCTGCCCAGGGAGAGGGTTGCAGGGAAGAACTATCATCTCCGCCGGTTCCAGGCCAAGAGTTTCCCCGGGTTTCGCATTTAGGCATCTTTCACAACTACAAGTTTTCATCACAGGCATTGAGAGAAGAGCACAATTTCAAGGCACAGTTTCCCAGAGACAGCGTACACGTACGGGCACACCGCGCAATTTCTGAATGAGAGTCGGTGCGGTATCTCCTTTTGTCGCGATGTAACGCCGCCGGTATTATATTATTTCTTTCTCTCCTCCTGAATCAGCCCCCTCCCCATGCCTTTCCCCTCCTCTTCCCTCCCTCCCCCATAAAAACCCATAATCACATTTGAGAGAGGCTCCGCACTTATCCGTTCCATATGGCTCTCACAATCCAGGCCAAGCTTTCCCTGTGACCTTTTAAAGAGACAAAGAAGCAAAGTACTTATCTAGAAACAGAAACACTGCAGTTTTCTGAGTGAAATTAGCAAAACCGACCCGAAACTCACCACTTCAAAACTTGACAGCATATAAATAACAAAAACAAAGGAGGTTTCCTTTGCAGCCCGAGCTCTTGAAGAGGAAGAAGTTCAAGACTGATGTTTTCTAGGTCCCCCCCTTTTTGGAGGGGGGGAGAGGGGGGGCAGCAGACCTGAGGACTACTTCCCCTAATATTCTCTTATTTTTTCTTTTTCTCGTGTTGCTATTTTCCTCTAGGCGGGGAGGGGCAAAAACAGATAGCGAGAAACAGAGTAGCCATGAGCAAAAATGGCAATGGACAAAAAATAGATTAAATATCTTTTGAGAGAGCCAGTTTTCGAGGTTTAGCAACGGAAGAAGGAGCTGAAGATCAAATTGATCAGACAAGTGTAACGCTCAAAACGAGGAATTCAGAATAATAATAATAATAAAAAAAAATAAAGTAGCAGGTTTAAATTGGGGTGGAGGGTGACTTAAGTCTAGCTATCCTTTCAAAAATAAAACCAATGCGTACAGGAGCAAGTGAGAAAGGGGGTTATTTTTAAAAAAAAAAAAAGCAAAGGAAAAAAAAGGCAGCTTTTCTATCCAGTGTGAAGAGCAGAAAGTCTACTTCTAGGTTGTCACTTACACTATTATTCTCCAATAGGCACCCAGAGGAGCAGCACACACAGAAGGAGCCCGCTCCCCTCCCCCTCCGCAAAAATACACACCGTAACAGCCCCCAAACTTTCTGCGGAAACCTCAGCCCCAGAGATCGCTACTGGAGATAAAAAAAAAAAAAACCAAACTGTAGAGAAAATTGCAGGAACAGGCACTAAAATGCCACTTTTAATCTCGCCTTTGCGGTCCGGGGAGGGGAGGGAAGGAAAAAAAAAAAAAAAAAAAAAAGGCAGAGAGGACCTGTCTCCTCTCATTTACCGGGGGCTGTTGTGCGAGTGCGGGGGGAGAGAGGGAGCGAGAGAGGAGGGGAGGGAGAAAAAGAACAGAGGGGAGGAAGGAAACACACACAACAACACACACCACCACCACTACAAAAAGTGACGAGGTTTCACTCCCTCCGAGTCCAAAACCGGGAGAAATTATAATTAAAAAAACCCCCCCCATAAAAAAAAAAAAAAAAGGAAAAAAAAAACCAACAAAAAACTGGTTTTGCTTCTGCAAAGAAAAGAAAAAAAAAAAAGAAAATCTGGGAACTCCGAGAAGAGTTACTCGCAAGAAGGGGTAAAAAATGTAAAATAGAAAGGTTGCAAAAAGCCAACAACAACAAAAACCAAGCCAGCAAAAAACCAATAATAATTGAAAAACATTAATAATGGTAGGCTTTGTTTTTTTGTCTTTTTTTTTTTTTTTAATTCTCGTTTCCCCTGGCTGGCTGAGTATGGTTGTTATTTAGGCCGGTTTGGTGGTTGTTGCTGGATGTTACATGGATATATGTGTGTATGTGTGTGTCCCCGGACGGAGCTGCCTCGCTCTGCTCTCCCCCCCCTCTCTCCCTCTCTCTGTTTCTGTCCCCATTAAATTATTAGTTGACTCATCACTCCTCCTCCTCCTGCTGCTGCCGCCGCCGTCCCCTGCTCAGAGCCTCCTCTCCTCCTCTCCGCTACCG